CTGTCTCTAAATAAAATACAAAATAGAGGTGGGGATGTGACTCAGTGGTTGAGTACCCCCAAATTCAATCCCGAGTACCACCTCCCCTTACAAGAAAAAGAAGAAAATTTTTCTCCAAATATATAGTTACTTTCTTAGGTGCTTGGGATTAGGACTTCATGTAAATATATATATATGGGGGGGTGCTGGAGATTGAACCCAGGGTCTTGTGTGTGGGAGGTAAGCACCCTACCAACTAAGCTATATCCCCAGCCCTGGACTTCATATATATTTAGGGGAAGAGCAATTCATTACATAATAGTGATACAAATATATAGATTACGTGGTGTGAATCTGAGGAAAGTAGATTGACTCTTTCCTTGTTCTGGTTATGTCCAATTTCTGTTCATATTAAAGAATATGAACAGAAATTGGACATAACTTTCCTATGTTCATATATGAATATAGGACCAGTATAACTCCATATATGTATAGCTGCAGGAATGGGATGTTATATTCTGTGTGTGTGTGTGTGTGTGTGTGTGTGTGTGTATATATATAAAATGTCAGAATATATTCTATTTTCAAGTGTAACTAAAAATTACATAAAAATAATAAAGTTGTTGCTGGGGTTGTGGCTCAGTGGTAGAGCACTTGCCTAGCATGTGTGAGGCACTGGGTTCGATTATCAGGACTACATATTTTAAAAAAGTAAAAAAAAAAAAAAAAAATTCATACACACAAATCCAAACAAACTGAAGAGCTGAAAAATTCAGTTTAACCAGGCTACTCCTTCTAGAGGTCTTTTTTTTTTTGGTGTGTGTGCACTAGTGATTGAACCCAGGGATGTTCAACAACTGAACCAGTCACCAGTCTTTTTTATTTTTTATTTTGAAACGGGATCTCAATTGAGTTGCTGAAGTCCTCACCAAATTGCTGAGGCTGGCTGTGAACTTGTGATCCTCTTGCTGCAGCCTCCCAAACTGCTGGGATTATAGGCATGCATTGCCATGCCAGGCCCATTTTTTGTTTTGAGACAAGAGTCTGTCTTACTAAGTTTCTTAGGATCTAACTAAATTGCTGAAGCCAGCTTGCTTGCTTGCTTGCTTGCTTTTTTTTATGTTTATTTTTATGTGGTGCTGAGAATTGAACTCAGTGTTACACACATGCTAGGCAAGAGCTCTATTACTGAGCTACGACCCCAGCCCTGAACCTGGCTTTGAAGTTGGATATCCTCATGCCTCAGCCCCCCAGGCTGCCAGGATTACAGGCATGCACTACCACTCCTCTTTAATCTCCCTCCCCTTAAAATTTTATTTTTTTTATTTTTAGTTACACGTGTCAATAAAGTCAATTTTGATACAAGTATACTTTATTCTAATTAGGATCCTCATCTTGTGGATATGCATGATCTACAGGCTCTTAATATACAAATCTCTTAGTTAGCTGTCTTGTAATCAAGATCAATTTTTTATTACATGATGGTCAGGATTTGTTACTAGCCTGAAAGAACTGGTTTATGGAATCATTTAACATGTTCCTTTGCCTCATATTTCATCTAAGCTGGAATTAAGTTAAGGTTGGTTGGTTGGTTGATTCTTATATTTATTTCGGGTACTGGGGATTGAACCCAGGGTTCACACAGGGTTGGCAAGTGCTCTTTTGTTTGTGCTCACCTGCATCCCCAGCTCCAGTAGTCATTCCTTTGTGTGCTCAAATGGCCTCTTGGTATATGTTGCTTCTTGTTTTTAATTTTGCATGAGGGGGATTGAGCCTAGGGCACTATACCACTGAGCTACATGCCCGGTCTTGTTTTTTGTTTTGAGACAGGATCTCACTAAGGGGCCTCAGTTTGCCTCTTGCTTCACTCAGCCTCCTGAGTTGCTGGGATTACAGGTGTGCACCACTATGTCCAGCTGTTGTCTCCTATTTTGAATGACCTCATGATCTTCAAAGCTTCATTTGGGCTGGGCACAGTGGTGCATACCTGTAATTCCAGTGGCTCCGATGCTGAGGCCAGAGGATCAAGAGTTCAAAATCAGCTTCAGCAACTGCAAGACACTAAGCAACTCAGTGAGACCCTGTCTCTAAATAAAATACAAAATAGGGCTGGGGATGTGGCTCAGTAGTTAGTGCCCCTGAGTTCAATCTCGAGTTACCCACCCCACCCACCCCCCAAAAAAAAAGTTTTATTTGTGCAAAATGTCCCAAGTTCATATGTCCCACCTTAGATCTGGCAACAGCCATTTATGTAAAGGAACTCTGGTTCCTTTTAGTTGGGAATGCTATTTTGGCACCTGGAGAGTTTTTCTTCTGGTTGTTATCTTTAATGCATGGGTTTTTATTTGTTTTGTTTTCCTTCCAGTTTGGAGGGGATTGAACCCAGGGCTTTGTGCATGCTTGACAAGCATTCTACCACTGAGCTACATCCCTAGGTTCATTAATGCTACCTTAAAAATAGGACTGTGAGGGCTGGGGATGTGGCTCAAGAGGTAGCGCGCTCACCTGGCATGCGTGCAGCCCGGGTTCGATCCTCAGCACCACATACAAAAAAAGATGTTGTGTCTGCCGAAAACTAGAAAATAAATACTAAAATTCTCTCTCTCTCTCTAAAAAAAAAAAAAAAGTAAAATAGCAATTCTTATACAATGTAAAATTGTTCTCTTTGAAAAAAAATAGGACTGTTAGACGGTGGTTGTGGCTCAGTGGTATAGTGCTTGTCTAGCATTTATGAAACACCAGGTTCAATCCTCATTACCACATAAAAATAGATAAAAAAAAATTTAAAGAAATAGGACTATGAGGCATTACCATTTTTTTTGAGGGGGGGGTGGTTTTGGGGCCTCGTACATGCTAAGTGCATGTTCTACCACTGAGCTATACCAACACTTCCTCCCTAGTCCCTAGGTAGCAACTATTTTCAGTTAACCACCACTCATTACCATATATAAAGTACATTGTGTCTATAAGAAAAATAGAAATAATATGTGGTCTATTGAAGAAATAAATCATTGAATCAGCATACTAACATTCTAAGTTATAATTCCCTATTCCACAGAAGTTTGGTTAGATCTTTTAAAGATAGCACCCTGGGGCTGGGGTTGTGGCTTAGTGGTAATATGCTTGCCTAGCATGTGTGAGGCTCTGGGTTTGATCCCTGGCCCCACATAAAAGTAAAATAAAGGTATTGTGTCTACCTAGAACTAAAATAAATAAATAAATTTATATTTTTAAAAGCATCTTGCAGGGCTGGGGATATATCTCTGTTGGTAGAGAGCTTGCCTTACCTTACATTGCACAAGGCCCTGGGTTCAGTCCCCAGCACACCCCCCCCCCCCACACACACAATCTTGCTGTATTGCCCAGGCTGGTCTCAATTTTCTGGGTTCTATTCATCCTGCTACCTCAGCCAGCAGGGTAGCTGGAACTACAGGCTTGCATACAGGCAGGGAGGTGCTTGATTTAAAGGGTTAAGAATTTCAAAGTTTGGAATCAGCTGTCTTGATTTATGACTAAGATTTGAATATATTACTGCTACCTTTTGGGAGGAGTAACTGAAGACTGAACCCAGGGGCACTTTACTACTGGGCTGCATCTACAGTTCTTTTTGAGATATATATATATTTTTAGCTTTTGGCGGACACAACATCTTTGTTTGTATGTGGTGCTGAGGATCGAACCCGGGCCGCACGCATGCCAGGCAAGCGCGCTACCGCTTGAGCCACATCCCCAGCCCTATAGTCCTTTTTAATTTGTATTTTGAGACAGGACTCTCAAAGTACAAAGAATTCAGTAATACAAATAGTTGAGATTGATGTGGTTCTGTCTCCTGTCATCTTTTTAGCTCATTCTTTAGATTCAAATGTTGTTCTGTGCCTTTTAAGAATTTTATCTTTCCCCAATACTGAGGATTTAATCTAGGGTCTTTTGTTTGCACTCTATCATTGAGCTACTTCCCCAGTCTAGTTGTTCCTGTGCCCCCAGTACTATAGATGGAACCCAGACGTGCTCTAGCACCGATCTACATTCCTCAGCTCTTTATATTTTGAGACAGGGTCTCAGTAAAATTTCCCAGGCTGGCCTCAAATATCTGCCTCAGCCTCTCTTGAGTCATCAGGATTACAGAATGTGTGTGCCAGGAAGGTTGCTGTCCTTCTGAAACTGAACATTGTTAGAGCCCTGTTTTACCTTGGAATATAGTAGTTGTTGTACCAGGGATTGAACCCAGGTATGCTTAACCACTGAGCCACATCCCTAGCCTGTGTATGTTTTTACTTTGAGACAGGGTCTTACTAAGTTGCTGAGACTGGCTTTGAATTTGTGATATTCCTTCCTCCGCCTCCGAGTCCCTGGGGTTACAGGTGTGTGCCACCATGCTCTGCAACTTCATGAATCATTTTAATGAACTATCATGGTTATGCAGGACAATATTTTTGTTATTGTTAATTTTTATTTATTTATTTTTCAGTTTTCGGTGGACACAACATCTTTATTTTTATGTGGTGCTGAGGATTGAACCCAGTGCCCCACGCATGCCAGGCGAGTGCGTTACCGCTTGAGCCACATCCCCAGCCCTTGTTATTGTTAATTTTTAAAACAAAGGCTGGATGGTACATGTTTCTTATTCTAGTGATTGGAACACTGAGGCAAGAGGATCAAAAGTTCAAGCTAGACTGAGCAAATTTTTGAGAGCCTCAGGAACTTAGATCTTGTCTCAAAATAAATAAGGGCTGGGCATGATGGCACATACTTTAATCCCAGCAATTTAGTAAGGCCTTCAGTAATTTATTGAGACCCTGTCTCAAGATAGAGCAGGGCTGGAGATGTGGCTAAATGGTTAAGCATCCCTGGGGTCAATCCCTGGTACCAAAAAAAAAGGCGTTTAAAATTATAGTAAATTGCCTCAAAATAGTCAGTATCAGAAAGAATAGAGAAATGTATTACTTATGTACTAAACTTTGGGTGTTAAGTAAATATTGTTAGGAGTTCCAGCTTAACTTTAAATTTTTTTCTCTTTGTAGGCAGCCTGCTTCTGCAAAGTGGTACGATCGAAGGGACTATGTCTTCATTGAATTTTGTGTTGAAGACAGTAAAGATGTTAATGTAAATTTTGAAAAATCCAAACTTACTTTCAGGTAAATTGCTATTTTACAACATCCGATTAAAAATTTATTTCAGACAAATAAATAATTGGTTTGTATGTTCTTTTTTTTTTTAAGTTATTACTAATCTTTGAAGAGGCTTATTTCTTTTTTTCTCTTTTTTTATACAGTTGTCTTGGAGGAAGTGATAATTTTAAACATTTAAATGAAATTGATCTTTTTCACTGTATTGATCCAAATGTAAGTAGTCTTAATGTTTTTATCGTGATTTAAATGGTAGAGAAATGGATAATATACTTCAAGTGTTCTAAGATGTTAATTTTTTAACAGTTCAAAGTCTTAACTTTATATAGCAATATCTTTCTCCTTTTTCTGCTTATTTTTGATCATGCTATGGTACTTTGACTTGGCAGCAATCTTGAGGCTTATCTAAGAATAAAATCTTTAAACCATTCTGTGGTAATGCCATATTTAGTCAAGTCCTTTTTTTAAATTCATTTATTCATTCATTCATCTATCTATCTATATTTATTTATTTAATATGTTGCTGAGGATGGAACCCAGTTCCTCACTCATTTGAGGCAAGTGCTCTACCACTGAGCTATAACCTCAGCCCTTTAGTCAGTTCTTAAAGGTTTTATATCATCTTATGCAGACAAGGAAAAAAATAATGCCAGATTAAACTAGAATTGTGGGGGGCTTCTTCTCAACCCCCAATTGGATAGTTTTGAATTTTTCTTTTTTAAATATTTTTTAAGGTATAAAGGGATACACAATATCTTTGTTCATTTTATTTATCTATTTATTTATTTTTATGGTTGTAGATGGACACAATGCCTTTGTTTATTTATTTATTATGAGGTGCTGAGGATCGAACCCAGTGCTTCACACATGCAAGGCAAACGCTCCCATCGAACCATAGTCCCCCCAATATCTTTGTTTATTAATTTGTTTTTTTTAATGTATTGAGGGTGGAACCAGTGCCTCACACATGCTAGGCAAGTGCTCTGCGACTGAGCTACAGCCCTAGCCCCTAGTTTTGAAATTTTTAGCTGTCAAGGGCCTGCCTCTTCAAGTCTGGAGAATATTTAGGATAAGAAATGAAAAAAGGAGAGGTGAGAGCCAAGTGATGGTAAATGCCTATAAACCCACTTACTCCTAAGACTGAGGAAGGATCATTAGATACTGAGGACCAGCCTGGGTAACATAGTAACTATAGGCCTGTCTCAAAAAAATAAAAAATAAATAAAAATAAAAACAGGCTCCTTTAGTGATACTGAAGTAATAAATGGTTTGATGGTGCTTTTGTTTTTAGGATTCCAAGCATAAAAGAACGGACAGATCAATTTTATGTTGTTTACGAAAAGGAGAGTCTGGCCAATCATGGCCTAGGTTAACAAAAGAAAGGGCAAAGGTAGGTTTTTCATTTTCTTTTTTTAAAGTTAATGTTTTAAATAATGAAAGATAACACTTATTTTTATTTCAAAGCTAAATATAAAAGCTCATAGTCTTACTTTTTTCCTCTAACACCAAATGTCGTTAGAAAATCAATTTTCTAGTTGATGTAGAATCTTCTGCATTCAAGAAAAGACTTTGGGGCTGGGCATGTACATGAGTGGTAGAAAGTATGTTTTGTATGCACAAGATCCTTAGTTTAATCCCCTGTACCATAAATGGTGGGAAGGCACATAGATAAATAGACATTGCATAGGAGAAGCCTTTGTAAATTACTTGATTATAATGTGGGAACCTGGTTTGGTCACTGCAAAAATAAATTATTCAAGTATGTGCGAATTGTTCTACCAGTTAATTTTGTTTTTTTAAAAAAGTTAGGTTTAACCACTGAACCCTATTGATTTGATGGGGATTTTTCCATTTTTGATTGGGTTTATGTGTGCACACACATGCCTGCACCCATAGTAGATATGAGCCTGAAGTTCAAAAAACATGTCTTGAGGTGCAAATTAACCTAATCATAGGGTGTTGTTTGTATTGATCTATAGCTTAATTGGCTTAGTGTGGACTTCAATAATTGGAAAGATTGGGAAGATGATTCAGATGAAGACATGTCTAATTTTGATCGTTTCTCTGAGGTAAGTTCTTTTAAATGCATTCTCTAATCCCCTACCCCCAGTAAAGTTTTACATAGTCATTTTAATTTGATTTTAAGCACCTAATGGAATTCAAGATAGACATTTTCAAGACCATTCTTTGGTAACACCAGATAAGATCTCAACAATAATAATTTAATTTTTTTTTAAAGATTAGGTTCTCAAGTTGATGTGTAAAGACAATATATACACTATACAGTCAATCAAGCACAGCTAGTTAGAGTAACTAGCATTAAAATGGATTTTTTAATGCAGTACCCATTGCTTGTATTTTAGAGCTACATAGTACAGATATAAATAATTAAACCAAGAATCATGGTGCCTTGTTCACTCTGAGATGTGTGTAGGGTCATTGTTGCTTTTCAAGACCAGGGAGAAGGGCCTTAAAAGAACCTGTTTTTATGGCTAGGGATGGGGAATGCTGGGTATCCAACCCAGGGCCTTATGCAGGCTGTGTGCTACACAAGCACTCTACCACTGAGATATACCCACATCCATGCTAGTCCTTGCTCTTCTGTTTTCTAAGGTGTCACACATTACCGTGGCAAAATTAAAAAAAAAAAATCTAATCACTGGTTGGTAGAATAGACCTTCCCAAACATGCTGAAACAATTCTAATTAGAAAAGAGAATATTAGGGCTAGTAATATAATTCAATGGTAGACTGCTTGCCTAACATTCAATTCCCAGCACCATAAAAGAGAGAATCAATTTGCAAATTCATCTGCAATTTGAAATTTTTTAATCAACAAGATTTTATTTGCATTTCTTTTATGAAAATTAAGAGTTGTTTCCAGATTCTGAGTATTTGACTACTTAAATTTAACATCTCACATGACAATGGCACCTTGTTTCAACAGGAGGGGAGGATAGTGGTTTCATGTGTTAAGTACTATATCTCTTGTGCCATTCTACCCTCAATACTTACCATTGGTCGTGGCACATTTTGAGCATTTTTCCTGCTCAAAAATATAATAGAAACATTCAACAGAGCCCTCAAACAGTATGGAAACTTTTACTACTAGTTATTCATGTCATTCAAGACTAGATTGTGCCAGATGTGGTTGGTACATGCTTGTAATGCCAGCTAATGAAGGCTGGGGTAGTAAGGATTGAGTAATATGCCATCTAAAAAAAAAACAGACACCAATGACTAGGTTGCAGAGAAAATTTATACTGAGATTTAACTAGGGGTTCTCTGTGTTTGTATCTATTTACTTATTTATTTTTGTGGTACTGGGGATTGAACCCAGGGCTTGGGCAAACTAGGCAAGTACCACAACTAAATCATACCCCTATCTTGTGGCCCCCTTTTGTACCTGAGATTGAATGCAGGGACGCTTATCCACTGAACCCCATCCCCATCCATTTTCATCTTTTATTTTGAGTCAGGATCTTGCTTACCCCTTTTATTATTGATGTTAAAGATAATTTAACATGGGATCTGTCTCAAGTTTGTTTATGTGCCAAACAGTGCTAACTGTAGGCACATGGTATATAGTAGATCTCTGGAATTTGGTTGATTTTGTTTATATAGCTGGAACTTCATAACTATTGAACAGAAACTTAAATCATTTTCTCCCCACACCTGCCCCCAGCTCTTAGCAAATACTATTCTATTCTCTTCCTGTGCATTTGAAGACTTAAAGATACCTAATATAAGCAGAATCATTCAATATTTGACCTGTGACTGCTTACTTTGTTTAATAAAATGTCCTCCATGGTCATCCATGTTGCATGAGGCAGGGTTTCCTCTTTGGTGTCTGTGGTGGTAGGAATCAAATCCAGGACCTTGTGCATGCTAACAAGCATGCATTCTCACTGAGCTATGCCCCTGCCAGAATTTCCATCTTTGTTAAGGTTGAACACATTAAATGGTATGTATGACTTAAGCTTAATCACCCTTCCAGTTGTAAAAACTGGGTAAGCATATAATTGAATAGTTTCAAGTTTTACATTTTTGTTTACAATGTTATATATAGCTATTTACATAATTTTATTTTTTAAACTTAAATATTACATAAAACTTAATTTAGGGAGAAAAAAGTCCCTGTGGTAATAAGTTGTTTACTGTTGGACTATCTGTGTATCTTAAAGTAATATACTTCTTAACTTTCTATCAACTAAAGATGGGAAATTACTGCTTAATGTAAGTATGCTCAATTGTTAGTCCCAGTTTATTGTAATTCAAGAGCATATTCCACAATTTGTACCTCTCAAGTTATGTGGTGTCTTCATAGTTACTGTTCATCTTTTGTACAAATTAAGCATCTTAAAGGGCTTGATTTTAAATCATTTTATTGGTGCTTTACAACAGTTAACACCGTAATGAGAATACAACAATATACTTGCCAAGTAGCTTAATACACAGAGCTTTACAATTTTAATGAATCTCATCCTTTTCCTGCACCACTAAACACAGATTTTGATGGTCTATTTCTCCTTCATATATGGGGTGTCTTGCTGAATGAATTTTAATAACCTCACTTCAGGGAGAACCTAGGCTTAATTTTTCTTCAAGTTCTGACAGTTTTGTGAAATTACCTAAAAAATATACCTTTTCCAGAAAGGCAAGGGTCTTAAGATTCTTCTGCATTTTTCATTTGTGAAAACCTGTGAGAAAGACTTTAAGATTTATTCTGGAGTGTGCAGCCTAATAATTAGGACTTAATTTAACATCATTTTTAAAACTAATTTTTACACTTCAAATAGATGATGAACAACATGGGTGGTGATGAGGATGTAGATTTACCAGAAGTAGATGGAGCAGATGATGTAAGTCTATAAATGCTTTTTTTTCTGTTTACTTTTAATAGTGAGAAGCAATGCATTTATAGGTTGTTTTATATAGACTCAAGGTTGCTTTTTTTCTTTCTTTTTGTTTTTCCTAAAAAATATATAGGGAAAAAACAGGTTTTAAAAATGTGCCCATTTTTGATAGATGGGTACCTACTAGGGAACTGGTGTTTGTGGACCATTCCTAAAGGGGCTGGATTTCATGAGAATTATTGCATAGCCTCATCATATAGTTTATTCAATTAAGAGTAAGTTTAGGGTAGAGTGCTATTATGCACCCCTGAAGTCCCAGAGACTTAGGAGGCTATAGCAGGAGGATCACAAGTTCAAGGTCAGCCTCCACAATTCAGTGAGCCCTTTAGCAACTCGATGAGGCCCTGTCTCATAAATAAATAAAGAGGCTGGGGATGTAGCTCAGTTAAATCCCCAATATATGCATCCTCAAAAAAATAAGTTTAGGGATTACTTTGATTAAGAATGCAAATTAAATAGGTGTAAAAGTAAACAGACGGACATTATAAATCTATTAAGAGGAAAATATACTAATTAGACCATTTTCTCAACTTGTGGCATTCTGTTGATATCTAGAAAATTATTCAATATAGTTTGGAAATATTTTAATTTTAGTATCTAGAATTAAAATTTGTTTTCATTGACCTTTGTATTGAGCCATTTTTCTTTTCATCGAATGCCAAGAGAGAAGAGGACAGTTGACGGAAGAATTCAAAGGGTGTGCTAAAGTCTTACCAGGAAGCACACACCAATTTTTACAGAAAGTTAGATCTTCTGCTGTACATCCATTCTCCTTAGTAAGCCAGTATACCTTAATAAGTTCACTGATTAAATTCCTCTATTCAATATAACTGTATATCTTTGCTACTTTAGTTAAATAAAGTGCTTTGGCTTCTTCAGCTAAACTGCTTAGATAATAGGATTATTTGATCAGCTTGGTAACTTTTTCTATTTCTCATTCTATAGGATTCACAAGACAGTGATGATGAAAGTAAGTATTTTCATGAAAAGTATGTTTATACAGTGATGCTTCATGTCAAAGGCCAAACTTTCAAAGTAGAGATGTCAGCTTGGTAATGGTTTTTGGTAGAAAAAATGAAGTTTTTATGGCATTGAATAAATAGCCAAGGTAGAAATGTCAATAATTTGAGCTAGTGACAAGCAGTTACTCACTAGGCTGAACTTTTTAATTCGATTTTGGCTGCTTTTCCTATAAAAATAATATCAGTACATTGTTCCCTTGTGATTTATACTAATGTTTTAAAACTCCTTTCAGAAATGCCAGATCTGGAGTAAGGAATATTGTCGTCGCCTGGATTTTGAGAAAGAAAATTACTTCTTCACAAGATTTCATAATTGAGAAAATTCCTGAGTTATAGCTCTAAAGGCAGATGCTGTATTTGCCTCCTTTAACCCATTTTTCAACCTGTTTTTCCCCCCTTTTTTAAAGGCTTCACTAAGGGTTGATAATATACCATTGTATGGGGCAAATTTAAGTCAGCTAAGGCACTATCCTTATGCATGAACATTTCCCAGACTTCCATGAAGCTGTTGAGGTCCTAGGCAATTGATAACAGCAGTTGTGATAAGTAAAAATATTTCACCTGTTCCTTTACTTTATAATATAATTACTGACACGATAGGAAGCTCTCAGCTTAGGGAAAGATAACTAAATTTTAGGTTTTAGGATATGGACTCAAGAGTGGCTGAAACAAATTGGCTGACATCTTAAACTGATAACCTGCCTTTCCTCTGGTGTACCCTACAGGATTGTTACACTAAAGTTTATTTTTCAAAAAAATTACTGCATATTATTGTATGTAAGTGATTACTTGTCAGTGTTCCAGATGTATCTTAGCTAAAACTAGTGAATGCCCTTAACTTAGATGGTTTTTGAAGCCTATACATTTGGTATTGTTTGGCCCTTAAGCTTTTACATCTCTTAGCATGGAGGACGAAGAAAGCTGTACATTGTTGCTTGAGAGTCTGTACATTTAGACCAGATTTGTATTTGCACTGTCAGTATGGCAAATGAGTGAAAAAATGTTAATACACTATTGGATTTTTTTTATTTTTTTTTTTAATTCAGCTTATCTGGCTGAAAACCTCAATTTATGTTCATGACAGTGGGGATTTTTTTAAATGTCTACATTCTTTCTAATAAACTGTTGGAAGACTTCTTGGCTGTCCTTTTAAGTGTCTGGTTTACTGTAAATTCATGTATTTACCATTTACTGGAATTTGAGTTTTTATTTCTGAGGAAGAATTTGGGGCTGTTTTTCTGTTTGGGGAAAAAAGAAGGCTTGCTGTAATGTCACAGGAAACCTTTTAAAAGTTAATCTGTAATAGAAAATTGTAGCTGAACTTTGCAGCGGCTGGAAAAGAAAGTGTTGTGATTTGATTGAAATAAAACTAAATCTGTTGTCCTCCTAAATCTGTGGGCTTCTGCATTTTGGCAGTTTCATTCCCTCACAGCTTCTGTATTTATCATAGCATAGAAATGCTTTGTATTTCAGCACTTCTTTAAAGTGTTAGTGCTAGAGATACAAACATAAGTCCCTCAGGTGGTATGCTATATGTGGGCAGCTCATAGGCTAGTCCATGGGAACAAATATATTTGAGGAAAAAATAGATAGGAAGGTTTAATTGATATACATAAGGAATTATAGAGATTTCAAAGGAAAACTAAGACTTTTTCTTTCCATTTGGTATATGACTGTACTGAGTGATATCCAAAACCATTTTGGAATGCTACTAGAAAATCCTAGGGGCCCTGGGCATAGGAACAGTTTGTATTTCAGGCTGATCCTTTAAAGAAGTATAGTTCACTGGGCATGGTGGCATAGGCCTTTATTCCCATCAGCTCAGGAGGCTAAGGCAAGAGGATTGCAAGTTCAAAGCCAGCATCTCAGCAAGACCTTGTCTCAAATAAAGGCTGGGGATGTGGCTTAATGGTTAAGCTCCCTTGGATTCAGTCCTTAATCCCCCCAAAAAAGTGTAGTTTACTAAGCACTTGCACATGCCTGCAGTCTGTGTTCAAGGTTGAGGCAGGAGGCTCTCAAGTTTCATGTCAGTCTCAGTAATTTATCAAGACCCTTTAAAAAATAAGAAGTACTAGCTAGGGGTATAGAGGCACACACCTATAACATCAGTGCTCAGGAGCTGAAGCAGGAGGATCAAAAGTTCAAAGTCAGCCGTAGCAAATTAGTGAGGCCCTAAGCAACATAAGTGACAGACACCCTGTCTCAAAGTACTGGTGATATAGCTAAGTGGTTTTAATCCCCACCATCCCACCCTAAAAAAAAGAGAGGTTATACCTTAGGCACATGCCTGCAATCACAGTGGCTTGGGAAATAGACTGGGAGATCATAAATTCAAAGATAAGTTCCTTTTAGCAATACCTGGGGATGTAGCTATTTGGCTCACTGGTATAGTACCCTTAGTATTTGGGGGTGGAGAGAATAGTATTGCTTAGGTTCTGACCCTGTTAAAGGAATGCTGTTTCTTCAAAGCTATAGTGAGCCCTGAGATGGGTTTCTCTTAAGTTGTTTGGGGCCTTGCTAAATTGCCAAGGCTGGCCTTGGAATTGGGGTTCTCCTGCCTCATCAAGAATTCCTTATTAGGATTTCAGTCTAGTGCCATTACACCCAGGAAAGCCCTAGATTGTAGTTTCAACTTTCTCTGGAGGATGCTAAAGTAATCAGCTTAACTGAAGTGTACGATAGTTCTTAGCTTAAATGGGGAAACTGTTAGACTCTTATTTATTCTCCTGGAAAGACAGTTCTAGAAGTTAAGGATTCATTGGCTGACTGGCAATCCTTTTATCTATAAGCATTAAGAAACTACCTTGGGCCTGGGGTTGTGGCTCACTGGTAGAGCACTAGCCACTGGGTGAGGCACTGGGTTCAGTCCTCAGCACCACATTAAAAAAGAAAGCTATTGTATCCATCTATGACTAAGCAAAACTCTAAAAATATATATTTATACCTTAGTGTGATTCCAATTTTGGAGGGAGTGGGGGGTGGGTGTGCTTGTGATTGAGACAGGGTTTCACTAAACTGTTCTTCAAATCTGTGGGCCTTGCTGAAACTCCCACAGTTGATTATTGTGTATTGCATATCTATTCCTACCATTGAGGGATATTATATATCCCCCAAGATATTTGGTCCTTAGTAAAGTGCCTGATGTGGTGGAGACTATCTAAATGGCGTGTTGACTATGTTTCAAAAATATACTGTTGATAATGTGTTGCAGGTGGGTCTGTGGGTAAGGAAACAAGTTTGTGAAATAACTTAAATATTATAGACGTAATAAAGATTAAGGGTTAAACTTAGACACTGGTATTAGTGTCCAGATTGTAGAGATTTGTTGGTCATTAGGGCTTGATGACAACTCAGGATACTGGCAGGTTTACTTTGCACTTTATACCAGGTAGTCTTTTTTTTTTTTTTTTTTGGTTGGGAGAGTTCTGGGGATGGAACCCAGGGATGCTTAATCACTGAGCCACATCCCCAGCCCTTTTTGTTTTTGAGACAGGTTCTTGCTAAGTTGCTTAGGGCCCTGCTAAGTTGCTGAGGCTGGCTTTGAACTTGTGATCCTTCTTGTTCAGCCTACTGAGCCTTTGGGATTACTGGCATGTGCCACCATGCCCAACCCAGGTAATCATTTCTAAAGTGAAAAGCAAATCATCTCATTTGTTTACAACTCATATTGTCAGCTTGAGTTGAAGACCCTACAAGAATTACTGCTAAACAAATGCTGTACCACTGAACAACATGCCTACCCCTTTTTAAGTTTGTCTTGAGATAAGACCCAAGCTGGCCTCAAATGTGTAATCCTCTTGCCTCATCCTCATAAGCACCTAGGATTATGTTCCTTGCTCCTATAGCCCAAATTGGTTTATTTATTTACAGCACTGGGGTGAACCCAGGGCAGTACACTATCACTGAGCTACATCCCCAGTTTCTACAGCTTAAATTTCTTAATCTCAAATCCAGTGGCTTCATCTTTCTTCCCTTTTTCTATAGTCCTGTGGTTCATATTCAGTCTGGTGGTTCTGAATTTATCAAAATCATGGATTACCTTGGATTATGTGGGTGTGTATATCCAGTCCCAAGATAAGTTTTCATAGGTCTGTGTGTATTTGGGATTGCAAATAATTAAATTTGATGATTTCTCAACTGTGATCCCAGATTTGCCAGAAATACTAATTCTGGACCCCAAAACAGACATCATTAATCTATCCAGCCCCTCAGGATTCTGAGGTATGCCTTAAGTTTGACAACCACTGTTTTAGATCTTATATACAGATTCTGGTTCATTTGTTCCTACTGAGGTATGTTAGCAATGTAGTAGTATACTAAGTAGTATACAAATGACTATGTGACAAAGGAAATTTCTTTTTGGGGGTAGGGAGGGTTACTGGGGATTTAACCAAGGGGCAGTTTACCACTGAGCTACATCCACAGCCCTTTTTATTTTTATATATGAGATGGGGTCTCACTTGCTTAGAGCATGGGTATGATGCCAAGGCTGGCCTTGAACTTGAGATCCTCCTGTTTCAGCCTCCTTAGCCACTGAGATTACAGGTGTGTGCCATCTTATCCACCTGGAAGGAAATATTTAATCTCCAATGTCTGATAATGGTAACAGCTAGCACATTGAGGATGTGAAAAGTTGATGTGACTGAGAAGCTTTAATTTTACTAAATTTAAATCCCCCATATGGGATTGTAAAGATTTAGATGACTCCATTCTTAGCTTCCTAGGATGATAAGGGGAAATCTTTCAAAGGATGATTAAAAATTAACTGTTTAACCTTGTTAAATATGAGAGCTTAAGATGATATGTGCCTGTAGTCCCAGCTACTCAGGAGAATTACAAGGGGCACGGTGGGGGGATAGCGAAAATAAAAGAATAGGTGATTTCCTGAAGAAATAGTGGTGGGGGCTGGGGATGTGGTTCAAGCATTAACGTGCTCGCCTGGCATGTGCGGGGCGCTGGGTTCACCCTCAGCACCACATAAAATAAAGATGTTGTGTCCACCGAAAACTGAAAAATAAATATTAAAAAATTCTCTCCTCAAAAAAAAAAAAAAAGAAATAGTGGTGGTTAAACATGAAAATATTCCATCTGGGGCTGGGATATGGCTAAGACACTGGGTGTTCTTAGCATTGCCAAATGGTGTGTGTGTGTGTGTGTAAACTATTCCACATTAGTAATTAGGGAAATGCAAATTAAGGTCAATTTTATTGCCACATTTAAAAAGAAAGTTTCAGCAAGAATGCTGGAGACTGGTAAATTAGCAAGATGATTTTAGAAGATGATCAGAATGTGGTTTAAATGGATATATTTAAGCCAACATTGTATTTCTAGGAATCTGTATTAAAGTAGTATAAAAAGTGATGTCACATTCAAGCTTTTTTTTCATTAAGTGTTGCATGTACTCACCATTTGTGACAACCCAAATGATCATTCATTAATTTAAAATGTTATTACATGTACTTTTATTGCATAATGTGTCCCACAGTCAATAAAAGACACTTCCATACTAACAAAATTCTCCAAAATACAAACATGAGAAATCTCATAGAAAGTAAGTGGGATGAGCCACCTGTGGTGGTACATGCCTTAATCCCATCAATTTGGGAAGTTGAGGCAGGAGGATTGCAAGTTTGAGGCCAGCCTCAAAAATATGAAAAGGGCTGGGAAAATGCCCAGTGGTTAAGTGCCCCTGGGTTAGGGCAGGGGGTGTATATAAAACTTTTTTTTTGTTTGTTTTTTTGTGTGCTTCTGGGTGTTGAGCCATCATCTCCTACATGCTGGGAAAGTGCTCTGCCACTGAACTGTATGTATCTCCATACCCCAAACCATGTAAAATAATTTTTTGTTTGGTGGTTATTTAGGGGGAGAGGAATGAGATTTGGAGTTAGTGTGACTTATCCTGTGCACCTAAAATGTATTTGTGTATTCTTGTGTAGTAGTAAACACACCCCAAAATTGTGGTTCAAGAAGGGAATAATTGGGCTTCTGAGGTACAACATTTCTGGATAAAGTTGGGGAATGGCTGTGGGAGTAGGCTGCTTAAGTGAAATGTGAGTGTGAAAAACTAATTGGAATAAAAGATTAAGGGTCTCTAAAGCTAGAATACTGAATGGATTACAGTAATCCCCAACATGAGGTAATTTGTAAGCCTACCACTATGTCACATCATTCACACCACTCCATATCATCTTGCATCATAAGAAGGATAAGTAGAGTACAGTAGGATTTTTGTTGTTGTTGTTGTTTAATGTTTGTTTTTGTTTTTGTTTTTTTTTTGATTCTGAGTTTTGAACTCAGGGCCATTGTGCTTGCAAGGCAAGCACTCTGCCAACTGAGCTATATCCCCAGCCCAAGTACAATAGGATATTTTGAGACCACATTCATGTAACTT